TTTATTTATTTATTTATTTATTTATTTATTTATTTATTTATTTATTTATTTATTTATTTATTTATTTATTTATTTATTTATTTATTTATTTATTTATTTATTTATTTATTTATTTATTTATTTATTTATTTATTTATTTATTTATTTATTTATTTATTTATTTATTTATTTATTTATTTATTTGTCTCCGCTATGATAATTCCCAGTCATGTAATGCTGTTTTAATTCAGCTTCGAGTGCACGCTAAACACATCTAACCTAGGAGGTATGTTTTGTTCAATGTTTGCTCAGACACAGGAGTAAAATAACTGTGCTATAAATTCTATAGGAAGGGACCTAATGTTGATACAGGAAACAACTCAAGAGTCATATGTGCATCTCAGATTAATTTTAATATTGTAGAATATTTTATTTTCGCTTGGAATTAATTTTCGCTATTTTCGCTGAAGGAATGATTCAATGATAATAAAATCCAGCAAATCAACCTTTTTCCCATATTTTACATTTAACTTGTATAAAATTATTGAAAACAAATTCCATAAGACCCAAAAAGTCTTATCAGCGAAAATAAATTGCAGCTAAAATAAAATATTTTACAGTAGGTTAAGGATACAACACAAGTAAAAATATGTGAGATCACCATGAAATATTAATTATATTGACTCTCAGGGTCATTCATCACTGTTATTATATTTCACATCATATTTCATATTTGGTGAATTCTAAGAACTGTTTTTTTATTAGTGGTACTCACCCACCATCGAATTAAGAATGACAACAGATTTTTGAGAAAACCAGGCAAAAAAAATGCTTGTAACTGAACTGCAACATGTGGATCTACATCTTCATCTTTCCTGTGTAGAGAACAAAATTCATTGATTTATTCGTTTTATTTATTTCAATATATTAAAGTTGTATTGACGACAACATATCGCCTTTTTGATTTTGAGTAACTTGGCCAAAAATAAAATCTGAAAGTTACAGTTGTAAAAAAATGTTATTGTTAAGTTATTATTGTCTTCAGTATAAATATTCTCACATGCCATACGGTTTAAACTGCTTCACGTTTATGCATCTCGCACTATGTGTGATGTTTCGTTGTACGATCATTAAATCAAAAATCTGACATGTGATTTGGTGCCTTAAAGACCGACAATACAACTAAGTTATGTATCCTCAATCTGATTTGTTTCAATTTTATCTGTAAAGTTTGTTGTTTTTTGATGAAATAACAACAATATAAAAAGACCAGTTCTGATGCTTTAATCAGTATTTACACAAGAAAATATGTAACTGCCCTGTTTTTAACATTGACATATTTTTTTTTCTTTATTTTATGTCTTGTTATTTTTGTGCATTGTTCTCATCTCACTTTATTGCACTTGATGAAACCCCCAATAGGAATAACATGTCAATAAAGTTATTATTATTATTATTACAAGAATATGGTCTTCTTGTAGTTCTGGCAGTATGGTATTTAAAGTGAATCTATGTGATAAATGGGCGTACTTACAAGAACGTCTTTAGGGTTTGACAGTCATCAGCAAATGACCCCTTAAGTGTCACAGAAAAAGTAGGATGATTTACATAACTTGTTGTACTTGGTGATGGTGGATCAAATGGTATCAACTGAGAAAGCAATATATAAATGTAACATGGACGACATGTAGATACAAAGGTAACTCACCCAAAACAACACTGAATTTTAATTTAATACAATCAAACCTATGTTTGACCATCTTTCTTATGTGGACACCCCTTCAGAAATATTTTTGCAGATTCACCCTGCTTCATAAAACAATGAGTCAAACTTATATCTAGGAAACATTGCTAAAATCTATGAAATATTTGTATCACTATTTAATGGTTGAAAGATCAAGAAAGATTTATAGAGGTAACACTTTGAAGTTGCATTTACACTTTGCAAAGCATACCAACCATCAAACTGTGAGGTACCATCCCCAATCAACATACCAACCATCAACAGATGAGCCATCAAAGAGCAGCCGCTTTCAGTGCGATCTATTGACAGTAAGCCTCCAAGACTCGTTGGATTTGTTTTTTTTAATGGCAAGTTAAATTTGTAAACGATATACACTTGCTGAATTAGGTGGCATTGTTTGTCTTTGAAGGTCAGTTTACATTGTAAGTTTAAGGGATGTGAACTTCCAGTACTCTCAAAATGCAATGTGGAAAGGTTAGAGCAGGATATCTACCTTTAATATATCATATTTTTTAGCCAAAACAATATACTTTTTAGACATTTTATGTTTATAGATTGTTCTAGGAGTTCTTACCTATTTGCTAAGTGTGAATGCAACATCATTAAAGGACGATGGTCGTCACGCTGCGCATGTTCGACATTTGTGTTGATAAACATTGATTTTCTCATAATCCAATGCACTCTTCCAATGGAAATCATAACTATGAGGTTTGACCTGGGCGCAACTTGCACTAATCACCACCGGTGACTCCTTCGATACCTTCCAATCACCTAAGAAAATACCCAATTAAAGCTTGGTGACGTCTCAATTTGTACTCAGTTTGATCTGCGCAACAGTCAAAGTCGCCACCTTTGTTCATATGAGACCCATATATCTCATGCATGCATGGCGCGACGACTACCACCCTTTAATAGTGACAATAATGCAACAGCAGTCATATGACATAGTCACATAGAATACAATGTAGTTACCGTATGTCCTGCTTTTTCTAAAGCATTCTTAGCTATTGCAACAGCCCTTCTGCACGGAGTTGTCGGTAGTATCAGTTTGTCGGTGTCATAGTAACCAATTCTTAATTTTTTATCACCATTATAAATCTTCAGGAGAATAATATTAATAGGTTTATATGTGAAATGATACTGTCATTTTAACAAATTGACATGAATGTTTTCCCCACTTGCTTGAAAGACAAATCCCATGAATTAAAATTACAGATTTCGTCAGATTCAACTAACCACAGTAATGTAATTTGAGACAACAGTAGTGCATGTGTCATTTAAGCAAAAAAAACCCTCGTTCAATCTGGTACAACACAAACAAGGAATATATGAACAAGTGTCCAAAAGTTTGTATTTAAAACATTACTGTGCAATATTGAATGATATACCAGACTGGTGAAAGTTTACTGCTAATATGTTTTTTCGATATACAAGAATAATGGACTACTGAGTACATGTATATGCATCATATTCCAGAAATACAAATAACTACCTATACAAATTCCAATGTGAAGAATTCAAGTTACACGCACCTGTTCCCTGAATGGTATTGGTACGGCAGTTTTATCATATTTAAACATTTCCGGTACCAATAGCGCCCTCATTCCCAGTGCTATACTGTCAATATCTTTGGAAAAAAGACCAGGACATCCCGATACTGAATAAAATAATTTGATATCATAGAATGAATAATTGATATAAAGTAGGCAAAAAACGGACGTAAATATATTCAGAAAAATCCTGCAATT